GGTGATGAAATGTTATGTATCATATATATCAATAAGAACAAAGAAAGAAGAGGGATGAGTATAAAATAAATAAATAAATTATAATTTTTTTTTTTAACAACAAAAAAAAACAAAAAATGAAGATGTTTTTTTGTTTTTTTTTTTGTGGTGAAGGGGTGGGGTGTGAGGGGGGGCGCGGGGGGGGGGGGGGGGGGGGGGGGGGGGGGGGGGGGGGGGGGCTGGCTGGTTGCAGCTGGAATTGACTAATGCATTAACAAACAATGAAAGTTTATTCTATAACTGCTTATCGAATTTCTTTTTAAAATAACCATCAACTTTAGGATCAAAATTTAGCGGGTGGCTGAAAGTCTAAGTGCAATATCATGAATTCATGTACCAACCCCTACCCACTAAACCCCCGATAGTATACCAGTAAGGACTAATGCGCATGGTTGGTGCCTCTTTGTATTCTATTAGAACTTCTTCCGATGTAATAAAGGGTAATCAATCAACGGTTCACTCAGTCTTAATGGCAATATCGACAATACCATATTAACCCACTGATATGCTCAGTTTTTCAATGTTCAACTTAACTTACATTTCCTTCCTCTCTTCCTTTCGACGAATTTTCTTGTCTATCTTTTCATTTCCCGCTGCAGCTGCCTTCGTAACAAGGCTTCTTTGCACGAGACTTACAAGAAAATATGACTTATCCAAGTGCAGAGATCTCCTCCACAAGACCGCCATTTTGAAAACTGCTGCCAAATTCACAATGTGTTTTATGTAACTCTTCTTCAAATGTCGCGTAAGCTGGTGCCCAGTATTTTGAGCCCGCCCTGTGCTTTTCGGGTTGCATCTTATCTTAGAGCGAATTCGTTACTTCACCCTTCAGCTAATTAAGGTAAGGAAAACTACCGTCAATGAACTATCGTATGTTAGAAGGATCACTTATAGAGTACTGGGCAGGATTCGCGCACTTCGTTGCATTGTTTTTTCCCAACCTTCAGCTGTAAAATGTGGAGAACACATGACTTGGCACATCCCCCTAGTTTTACCGATCATACTTGCATCCCATAATCGGTAATAATATTGGCGGTTATTTTCTTGGAGAAGATCGAAAGTTTTTTTCTCCGCTGGGAACTGGGCATGAACTCCATTTTCATGCAAGTTTTGGTATTGTATTGTATTGATCACCATCATCAAGGCCACTAGCTGTGTCCCGGGAAGGGTACTTCCTACTCAATCTAGTCTGTGTAGTGGTGATAGGTTAATGGGGATGTGCCGCTGGATGGAGTCGCATTTTTATGACTGGATTGGCCATAATGGGGTTACTTTTTCAAAAGAGTTACTAGAATGGGGTAGCACATTTTCAGGATTTTGGTGTTAATGGAAGCATTTTACTAGAATGGGGTAGCACATTTTCAGGATTT